GTCTTTGAAGAACTTTTAATAAGATAAGTTACTTTTGTCTCATTTTTATTTATCTGTTACTTACAGGTCTACCTGATTATTAAACCTAAGAAAGTACTTTTTTAATTATACGATAAACATTCTTGCATAATTATCTTATTCTATTAACCTTTCAAATACATTATTTTCAGTGATTAATTATCAAAGTTGAATGGAAAAGGGGAATAATTTCTCTCAGTAGAATACAAATTAATAGAGCCCTGCCCAGGACCAGAATGCTTAGACGAATGGTCCAGATGTTTAAAAATCTGGTAGAAATTAAATACGCTTACTCATATCATTTAAACTTATACTCAGTTTGCTTCCGATATGCCCAGAAGCAGAGAAGAATTTCACAGGTACAATGCATTTTCACTACAGATTCAACAAAGCCTTACCCTAACACCAGAACCCAAGACGAAGGGTCAAGAAATTTACAAATTTGGAAGAGTTACCCTCATCATCATAACTATGGACTTCAAAGAATTAACACTTTTCCACTATATTATCAAAAGCCCCCCCCCCCCCCTCGTTATGCCAGTACCCCTGACCCTAGGATCACAAGATTTAAAAATTCTGTTCGAAGCTCCCATTTTCATCATAGCTAAGCAATTTATTTATCAGCTCAACACTAAGGAGCAGACAGGATTAATTAATGATTAATTAATAGAATTAATGCTTTTTCACTATATAATCAATAGAGCCCCCCCCCCCCCCCCAAGAACCCCAAAAACTGAGGCATATATTTAAAAATTTTGGAAGAGGCATCCTTGTCTATCATAATCATGCACTTAGTTTGTTTAAATAATCTCCAGTAGCAGAAAAGAAGATTTTCAAAGAATCAATGCATGTTCACTATATAATCAATAGAGCCCCACCCTAACACCAGAACCCCTGACCCTGGGGCCATGAAATTCACAATTTCTGAAAAGGCATCCTTATGCATCATAACCATGCACTTAGTTTGTTTAAATAGTCTCCAGTAGCAGAAAAGAAGATTTTCAAAGAATTAAAGCATTTTCACTGTATAATCAATAGAGCCCCGCCCTAACAACAGAACCCCTGACCCAGGGGCCATGAAATTCACAATTCTGGAAGAGGCCCACCTCCTCATCATAACTATATACCTAGTTTATCACCTTAATGCCCAGGAGCAGAGGGGAAGATTTTCAAAGAATCAATGCATTTTCACTATATAGTCGATAGAGCCCCGCCCTAACACCAGAACCCCTGACCCTGGGGCCATGAAATTCACAATTTTGGAAGAGGTACTCTTGCTCATCATAACTATGTACTTAGTTACTTTATTAAATATCCAGAAGCAGAGAAGAAGATTTTCAAAGAATTAATGCATTTTCACTATATAATCAATAGAGCCCCTCCCTAACACCAGAACCCCTGACCCAGGGGCCATGGCTTTCACAATTCTGAAAGAGGCCCACCTCCTCATCATAACTATGTACTTAGTTTATCACCTTAATGCCCAGGAGCAGAAAAGAATATTTTCAAAGATTTAATACATTTTCACTATATAATCAATAGAGCCCCGCCCTAACACCAGAACCCCTGACCCTGGGGCCATGAAATTCACAATTTTGGAAGAGGTACTTTTGCTCATCATAACTATGTACTTAGTTACTTTATTTAATACCCAGGAGCAGAGAAGAAGATTTTCAAAGAAATAATGCACTTTCACTATATGATCTATATAGCCCCACCCTGGGGCCAGAACCCCTGACCCTGGGGCCATGAATTTCACAATTTTGGTAGAGGGCTCAATGCTTATTACAATGATGCCAACAGTTTGACTGCTTGATGTCCAGGAGTAAAGAAGAAGATTTTTAAAGATTGCATTATTTTTGGTGGTTTTAGCCCCACCCCTCAGGCCTCAGGGGGGCAGGGACCATGAAATTCACAATTTTTGTTTTCCTTTACCCATAGATGCTATATACCAAAATTGGTTGAAATTGGTTGAGCGGTTCTAGAGAAGAAGTTAAAAATGTTCAAAAGTTAACGCACGACGGACGACGCACGACGACGGACGAAAACAGATAGCAATAGGTCACCTGAGTGACTCAGGTGACCTAATAAGCTAACAATGAATTTATTTTGTGGTTAAAATTATGTTTATTTTTAAAGGGGTGCATAAGAACCAACGACCCCCTCCCCCCCCCTTCCGACGGCCTTGACACCGTATAATAATTATTAAACTATTATACTTTCACCTTGAATCATGATCAATGAGGGTACCTGCATGTATCTTCCCTCCTCACCCCCCCCCCAAAAAAAAAGGTAAGAAAAATATGTCATCATTCATGATGAGACAAAATTAATCCAAACGATATAATATTGTAAAATACATGTTATCTTCCTTGATGTATGTCATTGTCCTCTATGTATTTTATAAACACCTGTTTATATTGAACAATTTATTGTAAACAATGCAAGAAAAAAAATGTACTCTACCAAATTTTAACTTTACTCAATTTAATTTTATGTATGACAAAAAAATAAATAAATAAATAAAAAAATAGAATATTGAACAAATTTTAATGAAAGAGGATAGTAGTATCCAAAAATTCTATATACACCAGCAAAGAGCCATTCTCCAGATTAAAGAACTGAGTTTAAGTATATAAAATAATTGTCCTATATTTTATCTAATATTTATTTTCTTGATAAGAACAGCATTGATCTGACTAAGAAATGTGATTTATTGACAGAAAAGTTTTAAATTTTAATCATTGTATATTCATTGTAAGAATATTTATAACAACGATCGATTCATTTGAGTTCTATTCTGTACCGCCCATATTGTGGTTTGGTATTTCCATTATACGTCACTGAATTCAATGCTTTTTAATTTAATCAGTATTTTATCCATTCTATGCTTGTATTTGAAGTTATTTTCTATCATACATGTATATATACTAAAATCAAAGTATCATCAAAATATCTAGAAAGAAAGATAGAAAAAGAAAACAACAAATTTAGGATCAGAGGTGGCTATATCCCCCATCTTATAATGTACATGTAGTCCTTTCTTTTTTTTTCCCTGTTCCGTTAACTTTAATTTTCATACAGAAAACTTCTAAAGAGTTTTTCTGGTTTGGGGGCCTCCCTCCTTACACACTGCTCTGCTTTATCATGTTTTTATTAAAGGGACAGAAAACGCCACTGACAATTAATAAAGTACTAACATCACTACTATATGTACTTACCACTGTATCTAATTGGCTACTGTGGCTTTTAAAACCATTTTTTTTTCTTCTCTAGAACCAAAGGGCCAATTTCAACCAAACTTGCCACAAAGCATCCTTGGATGAAGGGCATTCAAGATTGTTTAAATGAACGGTCGCGCCCTCTTTCTAGAGATAATTAATTTAGTGAATATTTAATGACATCATTCGAAAATCTCCTCAAGAACCACTTGGCCAGAAAATATGAAACTTATTAAAAGCTACAATATACATAGTGCAAGTAAATTTAAGAACAGATAAGCCATGATTAGACATATTTATATATAAGCATCCTCAGGTAGTGTAGTTTCAGTTTATTTAAATCAATACACCTAGGGGTAGTGTGGGGCCACAATATGTTATCAAAGTTTTTAAATTGGAAAATATTTTGGAAAATCTGCCGAAGAACAGCAAGGCCATAGTGACACAGGTTAGTTTGTGCCCCACGGGCCTCTTTTATGTTTAATGCAATTTCCTATAATTTCATACACAACTCTTCTTTTTGAGGAGATTTAAATAGTCTATAAATATAGCCAGGACCACTATGCCTTCATATCCGAAGAATCCTCGATACAAAAATGAATATTAATATTTAATTAAGTAGTTTTTCTCAATTATAGAATTAACCCGACAATGAAGTCCCATTGGTCGAGTTTAATACTTCATCACTTTACACTCCTTTGAATTTCACACTGTAACGGTATTTCAAAACCTTAAGTTAAACAAAGTCTGAAAAATTTTGATATAAGCCCACCCAAATTGAAAATACCAAGGGAAAAAACTGCTCGGGATAAAACCAAGGTCACATTAAGTCACGTGATTAATGGGATTGAATGGTATTCGACAAGAAAACAAGAAGATCGTTTATCTAGCCAATGATAAAGAAGATCTTGTTTGTGACGTCACAGATTCAGTCTCTCGAATTATGATGATTAGGTTACTATATAAAATAGATATTTACATATTTGCTTGCAGAACATCCTTTTCGAAAACTTTCTAAAACAGCGAAATTAAAATCCGACCCTGATTAGCATTGTATAATGAAATGCGTGCATTTTTAAAATCCATGAATCGTAATATGAATAGATAATTATATTCGTGTTGAATGATTTCAGTACAGGACCTCACCACCTGCTAGTCATTGTAGGAAATGTAAAAATCTATTGAAGAGTTCATGAACTAATGGCCCTTGACGGAAACTAATCATGTGTATCGTCTGTGTAAGGCGCCACCTGGCGGTAGTTTTTCATGGAACGACAGCGTAGTTTCATTTCGTTTGAAGTGAAAGACGTCTTTTAATCTTCGGGAAAAGTCGTTTTGTAAACGGAACTCTGGACCTAAGTGTAGATATGGCAGTTGGAAATATATAGAAAAAGAAAACTTTATGCCTGATTCCATGGAATTAAAACAAGCTTTTCCTGTGACGAAGAAAAAATAACGTGGATAATTTTTAATTTCAAAGAAGCGGATTTTTAAAGGAAAGTGCTTTATGAAATAGGATACATTGAGTGATTTTAGATACATTTTACTGAAGTTGATTCAGTTGTCGATTTTCAGAAAAAAAATGCCAAATTGTTGAAAATATGGCATTTTGAATTTTATATCATTGAGAAACAAAAGTATGATGGAAACACATAATATAAGCAGGTTAATATTTTTTAAAAACCAAAGTAATCAAACTTTCAATAAATATTTAACAAACAAGTAAGCATTGCCGGGGAAGAACTCGGACCGCAGTGCATTATGGGAAATCCAATTAGACCTTTAGTCAGACAGTGTATCATGTTACTGTGCCTTCTCCAGGAAGTGTGGTCACGTGGTAAAATGTTGGATCCGCCCGGAAGGTCATCACTATGGAGACAGGGGTACAATTCACCTGTCAATCATCATGATAGTCAGCTGTTTTGTGGTGGATACCGGGTAAGTTAAGATCCTTGAGTATTTTATGATTCACCTCTGAGTATTTTAAGAAATCAATCTCTTTTGTCATCCATTTTTATTTGCGAAATTGTGGATCTAAAACTACACATGTACGATGCCTGTGATGTTGACTGTCAATTTTATTTTTTAGACCAAACACAGAAAAAACGTCATTTATACCGTACATTTTTACAAGACAAAAAAGGGGGAATAGGTGGCAATGATTTTTTTCTTCTTACGTACACCTGTATTGACACTGAAATAATTAAAGAATTCTGATAGAAAGGTTTTCGAGACTATAAAAACTAGAACATACCTTTTAGTATAAATTATACCTTAACTAGATCTGAATGACTGATGGATGATAAAAGTGCAGATATTTGATGACATAATTTAGTAATGATTAATGTTAATCAGGTGTCTATTATCACTAAAATGGTTAATGAGCAATAAACATTTAGGAAAAAATCTGAATTTAATGCGAATAAAAATTTTCCTCTTAATATTTACAAACAGATGCTTTTAACCCCAGCCCTAATCCACCACGTCTTTTTTACCCATTAGATACTGAAAAGTAAAATATTTTCAGAAATAAAAGATTCCAGTCTTACGGTGTCTTTCTTAGATGAAGCGTATAACAGAGTGTTTAAGGAGACACTGTCATAGGAAACCCTCTAATGGAACGCTGTGTCAATTGACGTTTTTTTATGGGACGCCGTGTCAATTGACGCGTTCGTATTAGAACACTGTGTAAAATGACGCCTTCTTATTGGAACGCTCTGTCAAGTGGAGCTATCTTATGGGACACATTCCTTTTAATGTTTTTCTTCTGTAAGAATATGAAAAGTCAAACAGGAAGTTAATTGTTTAAATCTTCTGTATTTCCAGCCATAAACACAATACTTTGTTATCAACTATTCTATGTAATCAATAAAATATTTGGTTATGCAATTAGTACAAACATTAATGAACAATTTCTTTATTCACTTGAAATAATTTGTAATTTTAATTAACCTGTAATTCTAATTATCCTTGATGTAGTTGAGTGTCATTATTGAAATTTACACCAAGTTTTCTGACCTTAAGAAGGAAATACACAGAGATGTATTTGCATTAGGTGCACTCTCTGTTTGGAATGTGCCACCGTGGGCTCTGTTTCCCTTGTTTAATTATAAATTAAACCTTAAGGACAAAGCAACTTCCAAAAACAGAGGGAATACCCAAACACGTGAAACAAACTTAAGTTACATCTTCAGTTTGTATAATACTAGTATTTCCCGTTTTTCCCCTTAAGTGTTTAAATGATATTTAACATAATAAAAATAACTTTATTATAAAGAATGCTAAAAGGCGCTGCATGTTAGTCGTTATTTTCACTGTATTTTAGCTGTCACTTATTTAGGCTTATTTAGGCTTATTTTAGCCGCTTTTAGATCATGATTCGCTCTCTGCTTCTTCACATAAGAATATTGTACTTTTCAGGGTCATTTTAATAGCAGACCTGTTTACCCATATTGTTGTCTCTCAGTATTTTTTTATTAGATTCGTCAGTGAGATTTGGCTTTTGCCCGTAAGATTTCACTTTCCATCGATTTTGCTAGATAATAACTACATTTCCTATTACCAAAACATGGTTTAATAACAAAGGAAAACACCATGCTTTATTTGGAGGGTTTCTGTCATTTTTTTTAAACCACCGCGATTTAGCAGCCCGAACTTTTCACTTTTTTACCGAATAAAAAGCATCAAACTGAGAAAACTAACTGCTAAAATACAAACAAAAGGATTTCCGATTTCCGTATTTTCATAATAGCAAAACGTGAGACGTATTCTGGACTGAAAATCCGTACAAAATACGGCGAAATCGTAAGAGTAAACAGGTCTGTAATAGAGAAATGCTTAACTGATACTGGATGAGGAAAACTTTCTCTGTCGAGTGTTGTGTATCCTGAGATAGGGGCATCATTTATCAGAACTCTCTCTATCTTTCAGAATGTTGTGGAGAATGCCGGAAAATGTGGTGTGTGTGGTGACCCGTATCAGGGACCTTATGATAACGAGGCTGGCGGAAAATATGCCAGCGGTATCATTACTAGACATTATGACGTCAGTGATAAATACATCAACGTCACGATAGACCTTGCTGTGTTTCGTAAAGGATATTTTGAATTCCGAATTTGCCCGAACAATGACGTAAATACCCGAGTGAAACAAGAGTGTTTAGACCGTCATTTGTTACATATACATTCTGTAGAGTTCTTTCCCTTTTTTGATGGAGTCTATCTAAATCCTGATTCATTAATTCCCGGCAGTACTCGGTATTTTCCGAAGGATCGAGGAGTTGATATGTTTCAGCTTGAGATCCCGGAAAATTTGACTTGTAATCAGTGTGTACTTCAATGGAAACACGTCACAGGTAAGGTCAAAGGTCAGGATCGAAATAAAACTAGTCACGATTTTCTCCACCCGTTTTCACTACTATTTTCGCTTGTGTTCTTAGGTGAATTCTTTAAATTCTCATTAAGCTTGTTTACACTTCCGATAGCGTTTGCATGAGAAAACTTGCCAAAATGTTAGAAAAAAAATTGCTAAGAAATTTTGAATCATACATTGTCAAATATCAAAGTCTTTAAAGTGCGCATTCACTTTAAATGCTAAATATTCTGTAAAGAATAAAGATAGAAAATATACTTAATTGCAACGGCTAAGAATTATGAAATAAGTAACTCACTTATGTTTAATTTTGGTTTAGGTAAAATTTAAAAGAAAATATTTAAATAAGTGAAACTTCAGAAAAAGAAATGATATATTGTCTAAAATAATGACAATTTCTCTCATGAAAAGAAAAAGAAAGATTCAGAATAAATCATTAGATAATTTGTATATTTTAGGATGCAAAAGTGCATCAGAAATAGCGAGAATGTTGGCGCTTTTACACGTGATATAGTGTTATTGATTGTTTTAATTGTTTCAATACTCCGCCAGAATATTGAAGCCTTAAATCATTCCTGGTACCAGGAAAAATATAATGAAGCACTCTTAACCATGCGTTAGTAAATCAAACGCACCTTTCGTAAATAATGTTCTTGGTTTGTAAATCAAGCGCACCTAAAAACACATTCATTTAAATATATATATTCAATAAAAGTTTCAAAAGATAAGGTTAAATTTTACAGAATACTTTAATGATTTATTTATTACTCAGAAATTAGGGATATTTTAATTCAAATACGACAAAACTTTTATTTAAACATGTTTAAGCACAAATTATACGAGACGTTAAACGTTAATAAGCTCCAAATTTGTATCGTTTCATTGGACTTTTGAGATTGAATACTGTTCGCTATCTTCATATTTCATTTATCTCTGATGCGATTTGAAAATCAATGCTTAATTTAAGTATTTACAAGCGTCTTAAAAAAGTTAAATACCAAGATGCTTATTTTGTTTGTTATAAAGAACACTTCAGAATTATTTTTATGAGAATCGTATATTTTCTATAAAAAAAAAAATTGTTGACATGATTTTGAATCAATTAAACTGAGTCATTTATTGATCTGTGGAGATTAATCGATCAATAGTGGATAGATAATTGAATCAGGGTGTTCACTAATCAGATATGATGGATGGTCCAAGTGTACACACTGTCGCAGTTCACGCAGAATTTATGAATGTTAGCAATTTTAGAGGAACAAAGAATGAATACAATGTGATATTTCACAGCAACAGATTCATTTACTTCGAAATGCAGAATTTTATGTAAATTTACATACAAGTATATTTTAATGTTTTCAAACCGCGTATTTTCTCTTCTGTACGACAGAAATAAAGGAAACAGACATATTTCATCTCTCTCTCTCTCTCTCTCTCTCTCTCTCTTATATACATGTACTTAAAAATGCATAGATCTATTATGTTTCAACTCTGACTTTACGGCAACTTCATCCTTCTTAATGTACAATGAATAGTTCTAAATTTCATTTTTGCATTTTTTTTTTTTAAAAAGGAAATTGTCCCCTCCGTTTGTGTAAAGTAGGTCATAAATCCATTTAAAGGACAATGAAAGGGGGGACATGCCCGTCTCTACAACACAGATAAATCAGACACCTCAATGTTCAGTCATTTGTAAGGGCTGTCAGACCTGACACGAGTGTAATTAATTAAAATTTTTAATTCAGCACGTCATATTTTGACGGATCGTCTCTGTGATGTCGTGTGACACTCGGCCGATTATTAAACCCTGGATTTCAGTAAGAACCACCTTAAACAGTGGTGAAAATGTCCTTATGTTAACTTTTACAATAGAGTCCTTAATATAGTCTTTCCATGATTAAGCATTTTCAAACTAGAGTAAATAGAAAATCTCTCTCTCTCTCTGTCTCTCCCTCTCTCTGAAAGCCTATATCATAAAGGAGAAAAGACAGGATTGTTCATTAATACTTAGTAGTCAACAGTGATTAAGACAGAATAGAATAATCAATCAATTAGGGCGAGCATCAAGATTAAGATGCAATCATTAAGGATAAAATGCGGGGTGGGTAGATTAGGGATGGGGGTGGGTAGGTTAGGGATGGGGGTGGGTAGATTAGGGATGGGGGTGGGTAGGGATGGGGGTTGGTAGGTTAGGGATGGGGGTGGGTAGGTTAGGGATGGGGGTGGATAGATTAGGGGTGGGGGTGGGTAGGTTAGGGATGGGGGTGGGGGTATATTTACAGCTGCTCCCTGAAAGCTCTGTTGACGCCGGCGTCTAGACAACAATGGCATGATTTACACGAAATATAACACGTTTGATAAATCCAAGCACCTTGAACCTTAAAAAGAAGCTACCACTGAACCATTAGAACGACAAGGTTATTTGTCAAATAACAAGCAAAAACAAGAGGCCCGTGGGCCATAACGCTCGCCTGAGTAACTTTTGCTCTTCTCTTCATCAGATTATTCCCCCTTCATATTTTTTGTAAAACTTTGATAACATAATATTATGGCCCAAATTCAGGGGGTCAAGATTTGAACAAACTTTAATGTACACTACTCGAGGATGCTTCCGTATGAATATGAAAAATCATGCTTTTCTGTTCTTGAGAAAAAAGACTTCTTAAGATTTTTCCTATGCATTACTATGTAACACTTTGATCCCCTGCTGTGGCTCACCCTACCCCAAGGGGTATGAATCGAAAAAACTTCAATCTAAACTACCTGAGGATGCATAAATATGACTTTGCTGTTCTTGAGAAGAAGATTTTGTCTATATATTCCTATGTTTAACTTTGATCCCCCATTTCCGCCCCACCATACCCCAAGGGGTGATTGAAATTGGCTCAGTAGTACTTGAGAAAAAGTCGAAAATGTTAAAAGTTACAGACAACGGACAACAGACAACACTCGACAGATGGACACTCTTTGATCAGAAAATCTCACTTGAGCCATCGGCTCAGGTGAGCTAAAATGATAATATATAATGAATGTTTACCTGATTTTAGATCTTGACGTGTAATTAGTGGCTTAATGAACAAAATTAATAAGATTATTCTAATTAACCGCAATACTTGATTTAAGAGCGGGTTTTGACATCCTGTAACATGTATAACCGTGTTTTTCAACTCAATTTCCAGAATTCCTGCAATTTCCAGAATTCCTGCAATGTTTGCATCGGGACGGGAGATAGGATAAATGTCGGACTCGGTTCACAAATTAATAAATCTCGCATGAAATTCTAAAACCATTTTTTTTGTACATAATTACATAATTTAAGGAACCGAACTAATTGATATGACAGTCATTTCATTTTCAGAAAATGCAAGTCTTCTGTATTTAATAGACTTTTACTGGTAGTCAAGATATATAGACGTATATATATCTAATACCTGTAGATGTTAAACATTTAATAGTCGAGATTTAGAACTATGCAACTATTTTAGCATAAAGAAATCTGACGATAGCAGGGCAAATTTCTTTCCTTAACTAAGTTATATACCAGAAACTTTTTTCAGAACAGGGACAGCCGAAAGAGAAAATGGCCGATGTGCCGTAACTATTTTCAAATGTTAACGTCATTTCTATTTTTACACTTTATTTGGGAATGTCTTCTTCTTTTATTTTATTTTTTAGGTCAATTTTGGGGGACGGCCAAAAACGGAACCAATTGTCAGGGATGTGGATTTCAGGAAACTTACATCAACTGTGCAGACATTTCTATCGGAATCTCAACAGATCTCCCTTCGGAACCCACTCACTCATTGCATACCGGACCCACTCATTCCTCTCACATCAGTAAAAGAACCACGGATGTTTCGCCTCAAGTATTGGTCGGTTTGAACTCCACTACTAGAGAGGAGTGTAGGAGATGCTACGCGGTCCCCGCCTGGAATCATTACCCGGGTATGGATGACTGGTGTGACGAGAATTGTCGGGAAGGAAACTGTCCGCCATGTCGGTGTTACTGTGGATGTCCCGCCATCACTTTCCAAAACCCGTGAGTTTACTACTTCCGCTTGTCGCCCGTTTGGCGTGAGTTTACAACTTCCGCTTGTCGCCCACGTCGCGTGAGTTTACTACTTCCGCTTCCGTTTGGCTATGTCTTTTCAGAGACTATTTTCTAACTGGATAAGTCCATAATCTTTCACAAAAGGGATAGGGGTAGCTGTATTTCAACAGTTAAATTTACCTCTTTTTCATCTATTGCAATGTCTACATGGAATACACATATAGATCTTTACAAAATCCACTGTTATCAAATTATAAAATGTCTTCTTTTATTTTGCTTTAACTTTCGAAGTAGTTTTTACCTGCATTATATCAGTATTGTTTTTAATCTTTAACCATATATGTATAATTAATCTGATTAATTTGAATAATGTATTTTGAAAATCAGTTTATATAATGTGTAAGCATGTCTTCTCCATGCACAAAATCTGACCGTTAATCATAAAACAAGTGGAAAACTGTCTATGTGATAGCAAAACGGGTTTTCTTTTGTTCGACCAGTACTGGTATTTCTCATTTAAGTTATGAAAACTTTCTTTTCTGAAAACTGTAAAGGAGTTTGAATCCCAATAGTATCAATGTAACCTGCAATAATTTGCACAAAATGACAATGTTCTACCAGTGGTATTTTTCTTCATCAGTTATCAAAAATCAAAATCCAAGTACTATGCACATCTCTAGTATATGTACAATTGATCTGCAAAATTAAAAAAAAACTTCCTACTTTGAAAACTGTAGGAGAAGTTATGCGGACAAATGATGTACCTTATATGCATTATTTTGCATAAAACTGACAACGTACAGCAACTGGTATCAAAATCCAAGTACCAAGCACATCTCCGATTCTAGTATATATTCAATTGATCTGCAACATAAAAACTTTAGGAGGATATATCAACACGAAATACCCAACATAAGCAATAATTTGCATAAAAAATGACCTCAACAACAGGTAATTTTCTCATAGAGTACTATTTTCAAAAAATAAAATCCAAGTAATATACATATTTCTGATATATACGTGTATGTATATTCTATATGCAAAATTAAAAAAAGTTCCTATCTTGAAAACGGAAGGAGGAGTTTTGAATACAAATAACCTCCCCTTTTGGTAGCTGTCCTCGAGTGCCACTTCATTTCACTATTTCAATAACTAGATTTTTCCTAGTGAAAACCCGTTTTAAAACATTTTGCTGATCAGCCATGATTTCCTTACTGCTTGTGAAATAACAATTGATGAAGAGTTCCAATGTCAACGTTCAACTAGAGGCTAATATATTACACACTAAAATTACAGTACCCTTATTTGTATCTTAATATAATCTGAAAAATTTAATCTAGAAATCTGCGTGTTACCTTACATGTGTGTGATTAACTCATTACCGCCTTGGAAGATGGTATGCAGAGTTGAAGTTTTTTGCATTGTTCGACTATGTACTTCTTCTCTTTTGTGATTGGTAGAAATTACATGATGTGAAAATTTCCAGTTATTTCATTGGTTAAAATGCTGTTCAAGGCAAGGGAGATAATTTTCTGGTGATCTAATTTTCGTACGACTTAACAATTTCTCAAGATTTTCAATCTAAAAAAAATTGACAAAACGAACAATTAAAAATGTCAATAAATAAATCTAAATAACACTTTGATTTTTTAATAGCAATTCCTAAAATGTGTTTCTATATTTTCATTGAAAACAGTAAGTTCTTTATTGCTTGTTAGGTTTTTAGCTTCTATTTGTTCTTATTTCTTTGTTTTGCACTGTCTTTCTAATACCTCGGTTTTCTCCGTAAACGCCGACTAGCAGCAGAGTCGAATTTTACGGAGAAAGCCGAGCGTCTGGCTGAACTTTCACATGCGATATGGTAGGGCTAATGTCAGTAAAATCTTGATGAAGAAATGCTCAAGAATAAATACGGTCTGATAGCTGTATGCCAGTTTACTGTTTAAGGTTATTGCTAAAGACGGCCAAGCTTTTTGAAAAAGCTCCACTTGTCGTTATGAGGTAATTTTCTATAAACATAATTCTACCTTACAGGTGTGTGGGTGTGGGGGAGGAGCGTGGATTCCAAATGGACACGTGGTGCTGGCGGGAATGTTGTGAGTACGACTGCCCCGCAGACAAGTGTCAGTGTAGCGTAAACATCAGCCAAAGCTTCAATAGTGTTTACCACGTACAGCGGGAGTTAGTGACACCTCAACCGGAACCGGAAATATCGCGTACAGAGTCCTCTACTGCGAAAACGACTAAAATAAGCGATGATATAGATAGGAGTACAGCATCGGCCCCCAAAATAACAACACTCTCCTTAAACATATCATCAACAACAACCCTGAAACCAACAGTGAAAACAACACAAACAACCACAGACAAACCGCTATCTTTATCAACGACATCATCAACAACAACACAAAAGCTAACCCAGTCAGAATTTAACCCAATTTTTGACGACCCCACAAATATAACTGGATTCGACCCGACCGGAATTCCTCTAGAGGGATTATCATCTTCGTTGTTTGGTCAGTTTTTCCTGTCTAAGGTTACCAAGGATATCGAGGACATCCTGGATGTTCCGAAGGACACAGAATACCTACCGAACAACGTCAGTAGTTTCTTTAACCTAGAAGATCCATTCCAGAGTGCTGAACAAGCCGTGAGTGTGTCTGTCATAACAATTAATGCGCCAGAAACAATATCAGCAGACCCAATAAAATCTACGTCGGCGGATCCAATGGAAAATACTGGGGATATTCAAACTTTTATTAACACATCTTCATTAACAACTTTTGCATCTGTTGATCAAACAGAATCCAAATCTACCACAACATCGGCGACAACGACATCAACTACATTATCAACGACCACATCAAAAGTAAGAACAACAACCAAATTGCCAACCACAAAAACAACAGCTATAACAACCACAACGAAATCAATAGCTATAACAAATCGAACAACAACAAGTAAATTACCAACCACAACAACTTCACCTACAAGATCAAGAAGACCGTCAATCAATAAAGGTAAACAACTACACACAGGGAAGTTAATCATGCCCCCTCCTCCACCTCCAGTCTCAATAAATTTTCCGTACGGTAAAGGACCTACATTCTTTTCCAAGTTCAACAAATTTCTGGGGACAAGGAAGCGACCTCGAATAACAGCCGCAGCGTCTAGTCCTTATACAAGAGTACACAACAGAGGACCTTATACCACAGTCAGTGTAGGAAGTAAAAGACTGCGGAAAACAACCACAACGGAGAGTCCACATATCAAAGTACACAATAGACGACCGCATACGACAGCCAGTGTACAAAATAAGGGACTCCACAAAACGACCACAACTGAGAGTCCGTTTACCAGGATACAGAAAAAACGAACTCATACCACAGAAAATGTACAAAATAAGGGACTTCGTATATCTACCACAACTGTGAGTCCGTATATCAGGGCACAGAACAGACGACCTCATACCACAGAAAATGTACAAAATAAAGGACTTCATATATCCACCACAACTGTAAGTCCGTACGTGAACAGGAAACAAAATGCTGGGCGTGTAGAAGAACAAAAACCTCGATCTGTTATAACAACGCTTAGTCCAGCAAAAAATGCGGAGTCTGGGCAAGGGCAAAACAGATCAACATTAGGATCTGTACATTCAATATCTGAGTCGACGCCGAAATCTGTAAATGACCGAAAACCTACAACTGAATCTTTACCTATAGTTACTTCTTCTAAAAAAGAAGCAAAAACTAAAGATGCTGTATCAACTAAAACTAAACCTGCAAAGGTTCCGAGACCTTCAGAGGAAGTTATTCCAGACGTTGTGCCATACCTGATATTCTTCCCGGATGAGAGGAATGATAAATATGAAGGCTTTTCTAAGAACCCTCCAAACAAACTGGAAATTAAGAAGCCAAAAATAAGTTTCCGGTCTCGGACGACATCAGCCACACATGTCGTTGATCCGCCACGTAAAGCAAAAGAAAAGCTTGATATCACTCAACGAAAGTTCTTTGGAAATTTTTCCTCCAATATGAACCTCAAGTTGAACCGTAAAACGCCTAAAGAGGAATCCTACACAAAGATCAAAATGAAAGAACATGGTCCGACGTCGCACCCCCTTAGTGCGAGTCTGAACAAAATAAAGACCAACGTCGAAGGTAACTCCTCTTCTAATTTTAAAGTAACACAGTTCAATAACACCCAAGTCGGAAAAGACGGAGGGAAAATTTACATGGATGAAAATTTGCCCACTTTTGAGCCATATGTTCCAAACAATGAAACAAATTCCACTGACCTTTACACGGAGGTCAAGAACGTGGTCCACCATAATTTTGTTTTGAATGGTCTAATAGAAAATATGGGGACATTGCTGAAAAACGGCGAATCCAAAATACACTTTCTTCTAAAAGGAAACCGTGAACGCGATAAAAGCAAAAGGAAACCTATAAAAGCAACAGAAAATGTACAGCTGGTCGACGGTAATTTTATACCTACACAAGAACAAGAGAAATTAACGAATCCTCAAGGGGAAGAAACGCGTCCAAAGGGGGAAGTAACGCGTTCTCGAGACTTGATAAAAAGTCAGGATGTTCAAAACAAAATGGCGGGAAACCAGGACTTGACTCATTCTCAAAGAGATGCTCAGGTAAACATAGACCTGGACAACACATTGTCAGAAAACACGAAGAAACAAAGGACAGCTAAAGAGAAGATGAATCCAGTAGAATTTAGTGCAAAAAATGTCAATGTGTTCAAGGGTAATAGTGCTATATCAAGAAAAGCTGAGAATATCGAAACAACAACATCTAAGACGGTGCACCAGACTGTAAGACCATTTCCAGCTCACATGACCCGACTTCGTCCAACAAACCAATCAAAAGACAGAAAGGTCATGTCTGCTCTGATGTCCTTCCCCCCACCCCCGCCACCTTCGCCGATTTATTACAAAAACCTTAATAAAAAGACACCCAGTAATCCAAGCCCAGCAAAGAGAGATCAAACATCTCGAGATGTGATAGGAACAATTCCTCCGGAAATCAACAGAGCAGAAAAGAAAACAACAGTTAAGTTTCCACCTGTACCTTCTATTTATCCATCCAATGAACGATCGCCAATACCGGCCCCAACACCGATAAGAGTAAAAACAACAAACCCAACTAAAGTTACAACAACGACTGCACCACCAACAACAACACAAAAAACGACCACTAGGGCGCCTAAGACAGTGACCCCGAATCTCTACTATCCGACCATACCCAGGGGATTGACCACTACTGTTTACAAAATCAGTCAGATCTTCTTCCCTCCAGATTTCACACAAAGAAGATCACTTACCGATATCATTAATGCTGATCCAAATAAAGTCCCAGGGACGTACACAAAAACTGTGTATCCACCCACACTAAAACAAATAAATGCCACCGATGTGATGTTGTCAACCCCCTATCATGTGAAGGATTCCGTTTCTAAAGTACCACTCCTAACTTCTGGTACCACCGTAAGTACAGTTCGACAGAAAGCTCCGGGCATTAAAGGTCTCCCGCGCAACATAAAGCAGACAGAATCGGAATCAACTTCTTCACCATATTTAAGGAGTAAATTAGAGGTTCCCGATCCATTCACGACAGGTAACAATGATATCACAACCCAATCAGAGTCACCTCACGTATTTAAACACGCTAACGGGTCCGCTTTAACGACAAACGTCCGTAAACAAACGAAAGAAGTGAAAACCTTTCGCAATGTTGGTATAAACATTTTAAAAGAAATATTTAAGTCACCGAAGGTGAAAAAGCAGGACGTTCTCTCAGGAAAAGTGAAACTACCACAGGGAAAGAACGCAGTGATTTTAGACATTGGTCTGATGAATAAAATCATGGATACTTTCAGGCGATGGCTTGCCAGTATGAAGTTGTTAGTGGTAGAGAAATAATCTACAGCAATTATACAATATACGTAAATAACGTTCCTGGAACTTGCAAAATAAAGTCCCAGCATGATATTGATACGTGTACATGTGGAAGTTTCCGAAAAAAATTGTAAACAACAGGGTACTTAATCTGAAAAATCACGTTCACTCCTTGCAGCGCTTCAGAATGATCTGCTGCTGAGGTTTCTGCGTTACTCACTTCCACCGTTTTGTGCTGCAATATTGACTCACAAGGAGAGAAAACAAATGCTGTGTAATGAAAAAAAAAACCCAAATAACAATCTTAATATCTTCTGTGAATGGGACAGATGATTCTAACTGGTGGGATCTTCTTAAAAGACTGAGTCTGTGTCCACGTGTGTAAATGTAAATCACAGGGTCTCATCACTGCCTTTCACTGCATGAGAACATTTTACTCCCTAATATGATATTTTCATTCTCTTAATGTATATGACCAGGGCATAAGTGTTCATCATTATGTTCTCCGTCCCTCTGTCCTTCCAATCTTCTGTACGTCGCTCCGTCATGATTTGGATTTAGTTTCAAAGAAATTGATTAAAACAAAGATACATTAAGGTATTTATTGTATCAGTTAAACTTTTCTGACCTTGACATTGCCTGTGACCTTGGCCTTATTTTCACCAAAGATGAACTGTTCAAGATATTTTTCTCAAACTAAACATATTTGTGAGAGCAGTCCATTTTTTTTTAATTGCTGACTTTGACTTTCAATATAACCTTGATCTTCATTTTTAAGGATATTTTTTCACACTTCTCAAATATATATAGTGGTGCAAAGATTTTTTGGACCTTGACCTTCCCCGTGTCTGAAGCACACATGCACATTACTTTCTTCTAAGATCCAAATGCCACTACAAGCAAGTCTATATACGATTAATCTCTGTGAAAACAGTTCAACCATCCAAATTCTAGAGATCGTATATAAATTTGTCACCTATAGAAAAAATAAACTTATCGCTGTTACAGATAGGTTGAAGAAACGCTACATACATGTTTCATGCTATAATTTTTTTTACTTTTGGCTCAGATCGAAGAGACAAGATACTTTTCTTTTCAAGATTCAATTATCCCTGTACCCTTGGGGCGGGGTTCAGGTTTTATTGACGTATTTTGTCATGCTTTGTTGTCCAATGAAAACAAGACGAGCCGTCCCTAGGCTTCATTCAAAACTGTTAAATCCTATGTATAACTGTAGATCGTTTTCTCTTATTAGAAGAAATTATCTTGATCTGCACCGATCGAACACTCGCTTCCCTTGTTGTAAATATATAAATAGTTGTTATTTATCTCAAATACCTTTTGGCTTTTGAATAAAGTTTAAATAAAAGGTTTATAAAATGTTCATAATATTTTTCTGCTTAAAAATATTTATAACTTTTACAGAATTTTTTAAGGTCTTGTAGCATTAATAAGGCCAGTATATTTTTAATGAATCGTTGTTAGTGTTTATGGTTTCCAGGATTTTAAAAATAAAATTCATTGTGAGAGAGAGATTGAATCCTCACAGAACAAGCGATGATGTCACTACACAATTATACTGTTTTATGACAAAATAAAGCATAACCGAGTATCTGATTAATTAGGATAATTAGTGACACAATTCATGTACTGTGTAACAAGATCGTAGAGGATTCCATGTTATTGGTGTTATTGGTTATGATAAAAGAGATTTCTGATCCAAGTGGGGTGTAAATTTAGACATTCCAAGCTAAATATTGTCTGTGTGGGGGTGGGGGTGGTAGGGAGTGGACGGGGGTGTTAGATTATTAATTAAGAGAAGAAGCATTAAAAAATGTAATAAAAATATTGTTAAGTTTTGAATTGTTGTTATACATATACGATAACATCTATTAAAGTTAGCGTTACCATGGTTACAACAGAGTTCATTGTCTAACTTTAACTTTCCAGTAGGGTTTCCAAATATCCTTAAAAATGTTATTCATTTTCAAAATATTTTTCGGTATATTAGAACACCTTTTTCTTAGAATAAAATAAGTTATCTCATTTTAAGAATTTTAATAGTTAGGTGAACAGTTTATTAATTATAAAGACATCAGTCTAAATAAAGCTTATAAGATAGCAATGGCTACAATAGGTAAAATATAACGAACTTATAATACAAATGAACAGCATAGTGATAAAAGGTCGTGCATGTTTAACATACGGTTAAGAAATCTTTCTCGTTCGATATAGTCAACATATATCTTACAGTTTTACATGTTTCATAATACAATCACCGACAACAAGGAATATCCAAGTTAGTAAACTGATGATTTCATTTCATCATTTAATGCATTCATATTGTTTGAGATGCAGCTAACTGTAATGACGAATATTCAAGTTTCTGTGGTGTTATTGGAGGAGAATTTAATCTGAAATATTTGTCTGTGGTGTTCATGCTTTAAAGCATCAACTCAATTTACTTGGTTAACACCAATAAGCACTCAGAGGTAAACAATATTTACCGAGTTCGGAGGGCGAGGTGAATATATTTCCTTTTAGATACTGATTGATCATACTGATCAAACGAAATAATACTTACATGAATATCAATTATATATACTCCGTAACATTCATTCCTAAAATATGTGTTTGATATCGTGACATCAAAACGTCACTCCGAACAAACACGCACACACACATATTTACATAGATTTCCACACGCCATTTACTCAATAATAATTCATCCTAATGTTATATTCGGAACATATCTGTACACATCGTAAAGTTGTGGAGGTTTTGGTCGAGCCTTAATAGTAACATGACCAACACATCCGTACACATCGTTAAGTTTTGGACGTTTTGAATCGAGATTTTATAGTTACATGACCATTCGGGACACCTCTATGCACAGTTTTTTACTAGGACGTCCCAGCCGATGCTTTGTTGTAGCGGATTTTCGGACGTCTTCGGGCCTGACTGTTCGCTTTCCTCCGTTTTTTGACGACGATGACGACGACAACAATGACGATGATGACAGCCCCGCTGACCCCGATCACAATCAGAATAATCTTGTCGTCTGCTTCCGGTGGCGGTTCGTCTGACTTTGTAGAGTTGCTTCCCTTTAAACCTAAAAGTAAGCAGTGTGGATACATACTCCATGTGTATCTTGAAATCCAAACTCTATACACTACACATTGAAGAGTTCATATTCCAAGGAACTCTTACACAATTAGAGTTATCCCCCCCTTTGATTTGTCATAAAGTATTCAGACTAAGATGAAATTAGTGAATACATGTAATTTCTTAGGTTGCGTTTTCCAGTTTAAGTAAGCAACAGTGTTTTCTGTTTATCAGTTCTCTGTTGTCTCCTGGGGTATCAAGAATGATAGATATCATGTGTTGGAAATGGAAAAGATCAATTCAATACGATATAATTTTCGCAAAGTCCGAAAATCCTTTCCTATAAATGTATAACGGGTTCTGAACCGACTTTTCTAATTCTAAAATCTGAGCGGACTAGCATTGTACCTGAGACTTTATAGATGTTTTAAACTATCCAGAATGTTACCGCCTATTATAGATTGGCCATGACTGGCGGCCAATATTCCAATCAAAGTAAGAAAAAAAAATTCCATACATGAGGAATAAAGAGTAAAGACGTTGTAATATTGAAAAATACAAAAATTAAAACCTCAGATATCGTGAGAAAGAAGGCAAATGAAGTTAGGAAACTGCAGCTTAGTGACATCGGACTCATTTCTAGACAGTAAACGTGTACACGGCAGCAAAATAACTCATAAAGACGAGGACGGCGCTCTCAACTGTTATAAAAATTCATTCAGGTATAATAGGATTAAAAACAACAGGCTATCGACACCAACAGGGACTGGAAAAGATCAAGACGGTGTCGCGTGTAGACATTCGAGTCCTCGGATAACATATATGCATTCATAACGAGAAAAAAAAAATATCTTTGAGGAATTTTCAAACGAATCTGAATACTAACAACTCATTGCCAAAAACTATACAATATATTACGGTCGGCATGAGTTTGAAATAATGAAAACATACACACTCTTTATATTGAACGTTTAGGAAGTTTATTATTCAAAAAATATGTTGAAATTAAGAGTACATTACTTGTGTGTAAGTCAATAATTACAATAAATTTATCACTTTTAAAAAAAATCAAAAAGCAGGAGCGGAACCACGATTTTTAGTACCGATGTATCTTGAAATTCATTATTGAAAAAAAATTAAAGACACAGGCATTTTATTTCGAATAATTTTATGTTTGCTTTATATAAAAACCACTATTTTATCCAGCTCAGTGGGTGTAAAGTCGCCATTTACGTTTGCTATCCTATTTAGTTCGGGACAATTGAAGAATTCGGTTTATCAAAGGTGGTCTTGACGCTGAGATGAAATGTTTTGTACATATAAACAGTGCATTTTACATTGGATTTGTATGCATTTGCAGGTTAAGAATACAATCGGAAACAGTTGGAAATTGAGCCGGTGTCACACCGCGAAGTTTAATTCCGTGACACAACACATAGCGACAAAATTTAAAAAAAAAATACTCAGGTGACACTTTATAACAATGTCTGCTAGGTTTTTAAAATTTTAAGATCAAGGGTGACGCAGTGAATGTCTTAAATGACAATTGAGAACGGCTGCTGTGAGGAACGGGCGATAACTCTTCCCTAATTACCGCACCAAGTTCTATAAGCATTTAACAGATACTTGTGTTATTGTTTAAAAAAAAAAGGCATGACATGCAATAAATACGAAATAAAAATATATGACATTTTGATGCACGTATGTAGAAACAGCGACCCTGAGTATATCTTTTAAACCCCCCCCCCCCTCATTTTTTTCTTTGGTATCGCTGTGCTTAAAGCTTTAAATATATAAATAACACCATGCTACGTTATAATTAATAACATTCCTATGAATTGCTTACAAGTAGGTTTATAGGTTTATGCACACATTTTGATTTATGGAGCAATAAATGATACTGCACTGCAAGGAAAAAGAGCGTACTTAGTTAAGATAATCAACGACTAAATATTCACAGCTGTCGTTTATTATATAAACGTGCATCTCGTGTCGTAAGTGAAAAAAAATTAAAGAAATAAAAACATTGTGAAATTTATCAAAGTCTGTTATCCTATACAAAGCAAAGTTTAACTAATACACATATACATAATACTTTGATATGAATTTCAATGAAAATTTATAAGAATAATTTATAGAAATTTATTTGTAAGAGTCTTTAAAAAACATACCATAAAAAGAAAATACGGGTTGTTTTTTTTTTATCTAACGTGTTGAAAATCAATTCATAAACACATGGTACTTTGGGGAAAAAAATTCACATACCTCAATGGTTATTTTAGATTTCTAAATGTCAACGAAAATTTACTGTTAAAAAAGAGAGAAAGAAAAAAAATGCCCAAATGATAATCAATGTGTCAAATATTATTTTATTACTGTCTGAAGTTTTTCTTGTCTTTAATCACTTAAAAAGACTTGTAGAAAAAAGTTTAAAAAAAATAATAATAAGATCCGCGCCTGATTTTTACCTACCCTGTGTTAATGTTCCTAAGCAGCAAAACAGCATTACAGTTGTCATGGTTACCATGTCTGACGCTAGACTGTGATAAATCCCTGATTTATTCTGTAGCAGAAAAAAAGAACATCTTAATTACAAAACGGGGATGAAGAAATGATATTGGCGTTGCAGGTGAAAAAAAATAAGACAAAACCCGTGATTAATCAATACCTGTAATTAATGTAAAGTTTTTTTTAATACGGCAGAATCCCGATCTTAAGTATAGCTTACCTGAACGTAGACGCAGCAATGCACACTCCATAATTACAGCTAGACGACTTCAGATTTTAATATGTTATTTATGTAGACAAGTTTTATGTCATTTTTACCTTTAGGTTTATATACGTCTCGTTTTTAATTAATTCCCATGAAATGCATATTGTCTTGGTAACGGAGTAATGGTCAAAAGTTTGTATAGCGTTCTCTGTAATATTTCCAACATGCAGTAATAATTATACCTCGGCTGTAGTCAATTATTTCACGCGATGAAAGATGCTGAATAATAAATGAGATCAATTAGTGCGGTGATCTGGTGCATCTTATTGACCGCTAAGCTTAAAAAACATTGCCCGACCCCCGGGACTTACCTCCGCCTATGACTAAATCCTTTCCAGTAAGATTTCATCAGCAGCAGGCCCGGGGCCCTAGCTTCTATGAAGTTACTTGGATTTACCTAGATTTACCTGGTCGATCAATGCCACCCACGACTCCGTACTAAAGAAAGGCGTACAGGGGCGGGGTCCACACTCAGAGCGGGGTAAATCTAGGTACCGGAGCTCCCACGCTGTCAGATGAGACCGGGGTAATTGTGTCTCCTGAGAGCGCCCTCTGTGGCTCCTAACGTGATCGCCGTGTTCGCTTCATTAGAGTTTTCTTATTACAGGTAATAGAATCAACATGTGAACGGACAACAAGCCAGGGAGATTCTGTAAACACTAGGAATCTATATCATGGATAAATGAGGAGCGGGTTGTCAATAAAGGAGCGGATCTCTCTGGTACTCTGGTACTGAAAAGGAAGGAGCGGATCCCCCATAGCTTACAGACAAAAGGGGCGGATGATATCACACTGTTTAAATATTTTTTGGAAAAAAGTCTTTCATACATATTTCGAAATTTTTAGTTTGAAAATGAATAATATTACAGGATTTAAATTCGGTGATTTTTGACAAAAAGAAATAGAATGAAATGTTTAAAAAAAATGAAATTTAATCATATCTATCGACAGAGTAAGATAAGCTGGAGGAGAAATTAAATCAAACATCTAGTTGTAAACACAAGGAATCTATATCATGGATAAAGGGAGCGGATTCTATATTTCAATGGAAAGTGAGGATCGGATTCTCAATAAAGGAGCGAATTAAATTTCTCTTATATGTTGGAAATAGAAGGAGCGGATCTCTCCATTGCTTAAAGTCAAAAGGGGCAGATTTTATCTCAATGTTTAAATATATATATATATATATTTAAAATAATGTCTTTCATGGATGTTTCAAAATCTTCGCAACAATTTCCAGTTTTAAAAAATGAATAATATTATGATGTATGAATGTAAATACATTCGACAAATTTCAAGAAATAAAAAAAGGATGAAGTGCTTTAAAATTTGAATTAAATCATCTTTATCAACAGAGTAAGGTAAAGAGGAGCGGATCTCTTTTCAAAAGAGGCGTGGATCACTGCTTATACTTTTGAGAAATCTGAGATTTGATTAATAATCCTGACAAGCAATCTTAACGACTTAAATTTCTAATATGTGTAGGGCCTAATTGTTCTTAATGTAAGAAAAAAACTCTTGATATTTTCAAAAATTAAAGGTTATTCTAAAAAGAAATTTCAATAAAATAATGTAGGGTGGTGCTGTTATATCTTTGTTTAACGTTCAAACAAAAGGAACTAAATGAAAATTGGAGTGACAGAGCTTTGATACTTGAAAGTGATTGTCAAATAAGAGGCGACATGACGAGTTGGATTGTGCTCTGTAGGTATGTCACTATCTATAACTTATTACGGTATTTTCTCTAGAAATAGCTTTACCGTTAATATAGATCTAACAGCACGAAGTCAATAAACCAAGAGAGATAACTCTTTTAAATGCTGTGCCTGACATATATAATCAAAGAACTGAATGTACTGAATCGAGGAGACGTCTTTCTGTAAAATGTGTTAACGTGCATAGGCAAAAGCTTATATTGAAAAGAAACCCCATTGAAAATCACTGGAAAGCAAAATGTGACCAATACCACAAATGTATTTTGTACCTTTGTAACGCCGACCGAGCGCTCGTATTCCTATTCCGTCCTCAGTGTTAAAAGTCTATATTTTGGAAGCGTAAAATTCTTCCTCATATCTTGAAATGAGACTCAAGTTGGTTTTTTCTACAGTTTATTTACACATATCAGAAATATATATGAACAATCACTAAATTAACGGCAAGATAATCCAATAAATCAAATAATTGCAAAAATCATACATGTAATAATGTACCCAACGCAGTTAACAGTCCAATTGCAAAAATCAAAATCATGCCTAACAAAGTTTCAGCGCGGTATTTATACTATGGATCCGCTCATGACAATAATTAGGAGTTATATTTGGATCCCTAAGATCAGAAGTCAATGCAATAATTACATAAATGAATATATCGGTCAGCATAGAATAGACATGTGGGGTAATTGCTACAAATTAAGGATTGGATATACAAAGTGAGAATTATGGAATCACTGTCTAGTTTGTTGGGTATGCCAGGGTATCAATAATAGTTGAAAACGTGGGATAATTTGCATAACGGGCGAAGGAAACAAAATACTAAAAATGAGCAATCTTTTATGTACAAATTTATTTCCCGGATTTTTGTGTTTATTTTTGTGATGCTGCCGTATTTGCATTGTATCGACACTTCTCTGGAAACATGGTTATAATCGTGGTTAACAAAGGAAATTCTCATATATGGAGCTCTCCTCATTGTTTGCTTATTACTCCTAACAATGAATGTAAAGGACAAAAAAAATGTAACGCTCGAGACAAGTACAACAATTTTCATCCCCTAACCGTGAAAATGTGCCACCTCTACACTATGAAAATTCTACGTAGAAAGATTCAATGGTGCATTATAATGGTGACAAGGCTCAACAAATTCCTGTTAAACGAACTGTAACGTGTTTGGGTCCGTGAATTTGAGTATATATCCTTAATCATGACGATTAATTAAACAAATGATTAGAAATGATAGGTTAGACGAAGCATGTGAAAATAAACGAGTCAATATATACAGATATAATAATAGGATTTCCTATCCTTAACATAAAAGCATACAACTTTCTTTAAACAATAATGGTATGGGTCTCGCACACGGACAGGTCTGTGTCCTGCATGTATCAGTACCAGGACAGGTACGGGTCTCAAATCCCGGATTGGTCCTGTACCCGGACAGGTCTGTGCCCTGCATGTATCTGTACCAGGACAGGTAAGGATCTCCGAGGTCTCTGTCCTATACACAGAGAGATCTTAATAAAATTCGAGGAAAAGTAATAACAACTTAATTAACGTTCAAATACTACCACCCAGTATACTAGACACCGTATACTGTATTAATTACAAGCCTTATTAACCTCCGCCGTACCTCACTATTATGCCTCCAACGACCGTCTATACTGAGCTCCAACTGGCAACTGCCAGCTTTCTACAGAACGCTCATATATATACCCGTATATTCCCGGACTACCCTTGGCGCTATCGTATCACACTACGATAAAGTCCGGCTGACGTAATGTATCAAGACATCCCGAGCCCGATCTCTGTCACAGAACATTAAGCGGTGATGGATCAAACCTAAGGATTGAATTTCTTCGCTACTTTGAAAATATTAGTGAATTAAATCTCTGGGACACAGAAAGAAAAAGAAGAGTATTCTTAACAGTCTTACGCGGACAAGCAGAAACTTTTGTTTACGGACAATTGGAACGATTGGACTCAAATTAAAGAATCTATGGACTGTAGATTTGGACACAAAGTTATGAAAGAAAGTTATTTGACAGAGGCCAAACTGTTGAATCTTTCCGAAATGTTGGGCAAGCTATACAAGATTTATATCGCCGAGCCTATCCAGATAACCAGGAATGACCCCCGGGTCATTTTTCGACCCGAGGCAAAATTACACCTAGCAAGATTTTTAAATTTTAGATCCTTGTGAACAAGATGTAACTTTTTCTTTAACCCTTTAACCCCCAGAGACGCATTTGGACGCATTTTCAGCATCTCAGATATTTAACTGTTCGCGTTTTTTAAATATTCGGGTTACAACAAAACAATTGATATTTTCTGAAACTAGAGAAGAAACTAAACATTTTTTCTACTTAAAGATTTTCTGTGCGATGTTGAGAAGATATCATAAACTTGAATTGAATATTGCATATCATTGCAGGAAGCTGATAAAACTATGCATAAATGACTGATTTTATGCTATCTTCTGTTGGCTTTATCTTAATTACAAACACAATAAAATAAAAAAATGAATGCCATATCCTGAAAGCTGGGAATTTTTAGTATAATTTTTATTATGGACATTATAAGGTACGTACATTCATTACAGAGATATTTGTTGTTGAATATTTAATCTTTTAGGAGTAAAACACAAATGCAATATAAAAATGCACTATGACGTCATTTGACGTTTTACATGCACAATGAAATCGTTCATAAGCTTAGTGTAAAACACACTGGTTCTTTTGGTATATGGAACAGATTTATTTTAAAAAATAAATTATTTGTAAAGAAGTGTACAAAACGTTTTGAGCCATAAACATGTAATGAAAGGAATTTTCCAAAGCTTTCGGAGATATATTATATACATCTAGTAATAGTCTTTGGCCCAACGCCCCGATTGCGTGCAATCATTTGATCAGAAATCCCTGTCGAATTTTGTGTCAGTCCTACAGTAGTAGGAATAATTAATCAAATAATTTAATATTATCCTTATCATTTTCCTAATCTTCAGATTTATTCTCAAAAATGAAATATATATATATATATATATATATATATATATATATATATATATATATATATATATATATATATATATATATATATATATATATATATATATATATATATACATATATGAATCTTTTTTCTAGTACTTGGTGTACTTTGAAAGGAAAAGTGCATTTTTATTAAAGCGACAGGATAGATAACGCATTTAGCCTTTTTTATGATTAAAGATGAAAAAAAAACCTGTCACAATGAAAAGTTATATCATAAGTACTATGAAGCACGTCGTAAACGTAGCCAAACAAACAGCTGATTTTAATCAGATTGCTATATAGAGATAACTTCTGAATAAACACACAGGAAACTCGGGTTTCTTTGTTCGTGTTAAATTCATTGTGTCAGTCTTCACTGAGTTAAGAACAAGTCTACATCAAACTGGATAAAAATGGAAAACTGAGGATAAACTAACAAATTCTCCCTCATTTTTATAATACTTTACAAATAAGCCGGGATTACAAATATGTGTATTGAGGAAGCTTAAAAATTGAATCTACTGCTACAACAAAAATAAAATGGGGAAAGTATAAAAATATTTGCCAGAACATAAATATAGCAAATATAAATATAGCAAAATATGCTATTTAATATAAAAACCGCCATTTTGCTATTTTTTAAAGCTGTGGAGAAATGTTAATGGAAGTACAATCAGAAGTATTCGGAAACTATGCCTAAGTTCTCATTATAGAAATCAACGGGAAAGTATTTTTAAAACACCCCCTTTCCTTTTTACAGCAATTTTGAATTATTTTTTTAACAAAGCTCTTGTTGTTTCACGGGGGGGGGGGGGGGGATGTTTACAGATAAATT